AGCATGAGAATGAACAACTTTATAACAGCAGAAGTGAGCCAGGGAACAATAGTTAGTGTCCTCTACGACAAACCTGGCCCACAGACATATCGTCAAATGCAATAATGGGCCAAGATTCCAAAACCACTTCCACAAACTAAGGATTAGTGACATGGACTAGAAGTAAAAGAAAGCATACGTGAGGACCTGGGTTCAATCCCCAGAACTACCAAAAACAGTCATTAGGAATTTATCATCCAATTTCATAGAAATAAAGGTTTTAACTGCATTAAAAGTATTATCAATAATCAAATGTGGATTCTGTATTTTTTCTGCCCCTGAACATCTGACATACAAGATGTGAGACCTACCCAAGAATAAGAGCATCCCTAGCTAGACATGACTGGCGTCATCTGAGGTTTAAGAATATGCCTCCAGAACCACCATCTTTGCTGCCATTACAGACGTTTTTTAGAAGCACTGAACAAGAGTAGAAAAGTTTAAATTGTACAGTTTTCCTTACATGTCAAAAATGTCCTTGCCAAACTGCTCCAGCAGAAGCACAGTAACTAAGATGGGAACAGGCAGAGGACAAAGGAGCAAAGGGATGGAGGAGAGCAAAACAGAAAATCAAGGGGAAAAGAGGGAGGGAAGAAGAAGCGGAGAAATGAATTCCATGGCAAAGATTCACTCTCTGAATCTGTTTGTTATTAGAATCTCTGGGGAACACTTATCCCAAGCATCCATGGTAGTTGCAAAGAATTCCTGTGAAAATCGGAGAAAGACCCAGATCAGTATCTCCTCATACAGCAATAAGCATCTGAATAGCCAAGACATCCCCATGGAGTGCGACTAAATCTTCCTTCAGAAGCTTGTGCATCTCCAGACCTAACCTTCCCACTGTGAGGCTCCTCTTTGGCCCGGCAGAAGGGAGGATATGCCATAAGCCACTCAGAAAGAAAGCTTCGCCCTCAACAGCAGTACAGAAAAGAGAGCAGTGCAGCTGATCAGGACTCTCAAGAAATGGAAAAACAGCAAGCAGTTCTGAGGAAAGGAAGAGGGGAAGCAAGTGTGTTAGTGCTCTTGATAAGGTCAAACTCCAGGGAGAATTTTCTTAAGACTTCTGAAAAGTCCTATTTCCTACTCCTTTGCTCTTTCTTTTCTTTTTTTTTTTGGGGGGGGCAGGGGTACCGGGGATCGAACTTGGGACCTTCTGCTTGCGAGGCAGTCGGCGGAACCACTGAGCTAAATCCCCCGGCTGCTCTTTAGTAAATTTATCTTTAGTTCAAGAATCAAAACATCCTGTGCTTGCTTCAGACAGATAGGCAGAAAATACAAGACAAGTGCAGTCCACTGTTGTGCAAACTGCGCTGAATGTGTGCTCCTTTTAAGCACAATCCTTACCCTAGCCAGTTACCAGCTCTCAATCACCCTCCCAACTGCTCACCAGTGTATCAAGGAACTCTCAAAGATTCAGTCCAATGCTGAGTCGTAGGCATTCAGTGTCTATGAAGTGCTTTACATAGCTCAGTATGCCAGCAGAGGTCACTTCCCATTCATCGCTCTAGATCTTTAATGAGGCAGAAAGGGAGAAGACTATACCAAGGGCTAAGGAAGAATCCTGTTGATTCAGAAAGAAGCCTATTCATAATGGGCAACTTTTTCTAGAGTTCTCTTGACCAAAGCCTGGTCCCTCCTATCCCACAATCCTCTGGTCATAATAGTATGGGCAGGCTAGGACACACACGTCACAGAAATATATTTGGGAAGACTGACACCTACATAATAGCACTAGGCTTCAAAACTGAATGCAGTCAATACTGATGGGGTATTTAAAAACCAATCTAGCCCAGAACCTGAGTTTAGGAAAGGTATACAAAATGCAAAGCTTTTATAGCATGCTAGTAGACTTTTGCCTAGTTCCTGCCCTGCTCGAACCTGGGAGGGTACCTGAGCAACAGGAACAATGATAGCTATTCCAGATCCAGCTGTTCACCATCTAACAATACTGGTCCCAAGCCCATTTTTTCTCCCGGTTTGTAAAAGAGGTAATTAAAACTCAAGCTGTTTGATGCACAGGGGTACATGTGCGTTAGTGTTTTGAAGATCTCCCTTTACACCTGCAAAACTTGCAAAACTAGCCTACCTAGGCTAAAGGAAAAGAAAAATGTCTCTGACCTATAAACCTAAAATGAACAGAAAGCCATGTGATTGGGGGTGAGGGACGACCCATTCATTATATTTCCAAGCAACATTAAAAACTACCCAGATGTACAAGGACATCAAGTTCAAGAATATCGTATCGTATCGTATCTTATTCTGCATTTACTATACAATTACCAACTGAAACAATGCCTGATACTTTTACTGAATAAAGCACATGACACAGACCCTGATACTTGCTAACTATAAATTTTAAGAGTATAGTCATTTTATAGGTGTCATCCTGACCTGAGTGAGACCCTCTTAGCAAACATGCAGCCTTCTATGAACAACAGGATACCACTAAAGGGCTATACTACCTTCAGCAAACAGACCAGATGGCCATAAAGAAAATTTAGGACAGTACGACCAATCTCCCCGGTGTCAGTTCTATATGCACACCTGCACTGACCCTCCTTGGAATTCTGACCTCAAGCATTCCATCCAGATTCCTTAGGATTATAACCCCATCCTCAAATCCTAAAAAAATTTAACTTCTCCTCTGGCCAAGCTGCTGAAATCATTCAGAATCTCAGCTCTATCTGCACCTAGACAGAAATAAATCCAGTCTCTCGCTCACACAAAGCCTGTGTCCTCTCATGCACTGTTTGTAACAATAGGTAACATGGACAGTGTCAGGAATTATCTTAAATAGTTATATTCTAAAGGAATAAATTGATATTTTAACTTTCCTACTTATAAAAAAAAAGAGAAAATAACATTTCACAGTTCTCAAAAAAACTTAGGGATAAATTAAAACAATACTACTTCCTTATGAAGATAAAACTAAGAGGAAAAATTTAAGGTCTGGCAAATGTTTCTGTCACCACTTGACCTGATATAGAATTTTAATTCTACTTTCTCCTTTTCAAATTCAGCCCTTTAACCCCAGGCAGGCTCTTCCAAGTCACCGAGACAATGGGTTCTTTCCTTCCTTTCTCAGAATATCTCAGGCCTGGTTCCTTCTTAGTCTTAGAATTAATATGCTCATATATTTCAGGGAAGACTAACCCCATGAAAGCCACAACGACTTTTTAAAAGCAGGAGCTACCATTTGAGTACATACTGTGTCCCACACTGTACTAACTGCTATAAACACATTATCTCATTTAATCCTCAAAATCCTATGATGTAGGGGCTATTATTATTCCCACTCCACTAATGAGAAATCTGAGATAGACTATGTAATTTGTTGAAGGACACAAACTATGCAACACTACCACTGCATTCACATCCGCACTGATACCCCACACTGTCTGGACTCCTAATCAGAGACACCAGGCAGCCTGTGGAAAACTTAAGCATGGATGGTAATGAGTGACTATGCTTTTAATCTGAGTCTTGTGGGCAGATGGAACTGTAATAGTCAAGACTTCTGTGATAAATACCATAAAGAAGACATGTCTAAGAAACCTGAACACAGGAAGAAAGTCCTTGAAATGTCTTAAAGACAAGGAAAGTGCTATTTGTTTGTATGTCTTTAGTTTCTTACTTCCTCGGTAGTACTTCAAAGTCTGGAACTCAGAATAAAAAAATAAAAATAAAAATAAAGATTATCCACATATAAAAAGAGCAGCTAAGTGAGGTGGGGGGACCTGACAGAGAAAGTATATAAATTTAGGCTATTAGGGGAATTCAAGAAGTGAGAGCTGATTATCTCACAACTGTGAGAAGGGCTTACAGATCTTTGGTGAGAATGGAAGAAGCAATATTCAGTAGCAACTATCAGCAAATGCAATAGTCCCTAAGGTCTTGAAAATAGCTTGAGAACATAAACTAGTTTCACCTGCAATCTCAGTATGAGACTTACTACTTTAAAAACTCACAGAGAAAGGAGAGCCGACTGGGACTGAAAACTGGTATTATCAGTTATGGCCATCAGCGCTTCCCAACCTCCACTCAGCTGCTTTCCTTCCTCTGTCTCCGCCTCCCTTTCTTCATTTGCTCCACCTAATCACCCCATAGAACACTTTAGGCTAGAGATGATTCAGAAATCCTACAGAGAAAGCAGTTCAAATGCCAGCTTAGGGGAGGACACTGGGAGATCTCAAAACAAAACAAAATCCACTATATTTCTCATTTTTAGTAGAAATATTTAATTTTCCAATTAAGTCCACATGTATATAAATTCAAATGTACATAACCCTGAAATTATTACAGAATCAGAATTATATATGAAAGAGACATGACACTTTTGACTGAAAGTTCCCCATGATTATGAAAGTTTTAACTGTCTTGGAATAAAAAATGCTCAAGTTAATATTACTGTTAGGTAATGTTAATAATCAGTGATTTCCCCACTCTAGCGCTAGAAAGTAATGAAACATTGCATGTGAATGGCATCCACAGTCAGGGACACATTTCCTAATTCCAGAATTTAAGTCTGACAAAACCTATTAACCAGCTGAACCAGATGTAGGCCCAATCTGCCCTAGTTTTGGTTAACCTGTGGCTGAGTTAAACCCAAGTGAGTTTCTACTTTGCAAATTTCTGAACAGTTCAGGTTAGACTTCTGGAAAAAAAATCTTTTAGTCCATGTGTAACCCTACAGAAAAATCTCAGTGAAAGACATAAAAGAAATTTGGTCATTAGTAAAAACCTACCTCTAAGGAGAGGAGAAAACAAATAAAAGATAGGATTTATGGTGAGAGCTTAAAGGTATGTCTGTGATTAGTTGAGACTCTAGAAATTAATGAGTCTGATGCTGTCAGACCAAGCTTAAATTTAAGAAGTCAATCTTTCATTATACTTAAAAATGTAATATTCCTAATTTGTTTGGAAAATGTGATAAATGATGTATTTTCCAGCAGGACATTTACCTCAAGAGCAAACATCCTGTCCATCATGCTTCTTGATGAGGTGGCATCAGCAACAATATGAACCTCAATACCTCGACCAACAAGCTCCAGAGCAGTTTGCTGGATGCATACATGAGTCTACAGGAAAGTAAAAATTCATATGTAAATACATGGTAAACCAAAAGTTTTCTACAAATGTGAAGCAACATGATAAAGCAGAGAGATTACATCTAATGACTTTGTTCCACACCTAGTTTTGCCTCTAATTAACTAGGCTGCTTGAACATAAATCAGTGTCTCTATCTTTGGTTTTTTTGTAAAATCAACAATTTTATTATATTATTTCTTATACTGGGAACCATGAATATATTCTTAAAGAGTTCCATTAAGAATTTCTTAAAGATTTTTCATCTGCATCTTCTAAATGACCTTAGAGCTATTACCCTTCAGTTACTGTGTCACCTGCATTTGGGTTTGTTTCTGTATTCATACCCAAGTGCTTGACACTGTGGAGTGACAAAGTAGTGGGAAAATGGATTCATTACAAGGCATCAGGTGTTAATGCAGGCCAATCCAAAATAACTTATGATGAAGGGGCAGCAGGGATTTAGCTCAGTGGTTCCACCTGCCTCACAAGCTCAAGGACCCAAGTTCAATCCCCAGTACCAAAAAAAAAAACCAAACAAACAAACAAACAAACAAATAGCTTACGATGAAGACCAAAAGAAAGTATGTGAAAACATGGCAAAACCAATACTTTTTAAATGCACAAAACAATGAGATAAATCAGACAAAGCATTATAAACAACACTACTTCACATCTAGCTTTGTCTTTAGTTAAATCATTTGAACACACATTAGCAACTGAGGCTTGCATTTATTCACCTATAATGTCAGTAACTGTGGATATTTAAGTGTACATCACCATAACTATTATGGACTCCATCTTTGTAAACACTAACTCGTGACAACTCATTAGCAGAAACTAGAGTAAAAACACATTTCAACAATATCTAAATTATAAAACCAATGAAAGCAGATTTCAATAATGCCATGTCAACTTTATCTTCCCATGACAAAAGAGCTTTGGAAAATTACCAACTGACACTTCATTAAAATTGGAATTTTTGGATGGTTCGAAGAGAATATCGATTATACATGAGGTCTAATTACGATGAACAAGAAAAATATGCAGAAGTCATCAACAGCATTTAGTATGATTAAACAAACAGGATTTTATACAAACAGGATTCCTCTATACTATCATTATTGAAGCCAAAATATAAATATTTCATGTACATCTATTTGTAAGACTACACCTTTCCACAATTAAAAACTACTACTATAAAGCCTACTATCAAAAAGTCATAACCATATGAAATGAATATTGTTATTCTGATTTCATTATCTTAATGGTTTTGTTCATTATTTTTAAAGTTTTAGTATATTACCAGTTTAAAAGCTAGGAACAAATAAACTGAGATCATCATTAAGAATCTATGAGTATTTTTTTCCTTTAAAAAGTTATTTATATAATTCAAATTTGAAAAATAACTCCAGGACTGCTAAGGTTTTTTTATAGTACCAAAATACAGGCAAAATGAAATCTTATGACACATAGAATAAAAATAATGCCTTTGGTGAAAATGGGTTATAAATAATTAAATTATTTCAAAAGATTAAAAAGTATACTGTAAAAATCAGTCAGCCTAAATTCAGGACCAGCCTTATCCTTCACTAGCTGTCCAAGTGTGGCAAGTTAGAGGATAACTTTGGGTTTTAGTTTCCTCATCCATTACAGGGGCATTAAGAGAACTCAGCTTAGGGTGTTGTGAGGGTTTAATGAGTCAGTAACTGTAAAGTGTCATATAAACAGTGAATCCTCAATAAATGATGGCCGTTTCCCAACAATATTACTGTATGTATGGAATTCTATATACAAAATACATTCTAAAAATATCAAATTTAAAGCATAAAAATAGGCACTTACTTCTACTCCAAATAATACAACACTCCTGACTCCAGGAATCTCTGCTAATGCTGCTTCTACTTCTGGTAATACCATTGAAAACTTGCTCTTTGGAAGTACCAGTTTTACACCTGTTAAGTCAATTTCTTGAACAGTGCTTCCGAGACCTTTAGGGTACTGTTCTGTTACAATAACTGGAATTCCTAAAATCCGGGCTCCTTGCAACTGAAAACAAAAACAAAACAACAAATAACACAAAAATTATTAGCAATATACAGATGATTGTATATATGAATATATTATGTTTCAGCAAATTGGAACAAATAAATAAGCATACCAGTCTTTGTCCAACACTTATAATATCCCCAAAATATTTGATGGCTGGTCTGAATCTTTCCTGCATATCACAGCAGAAAAACACAGTGCTCGAAGGTGTAAGATTTCCCAGGGTAGTGAGCTGAGGGAGAAAGAAAAAAGAATGATTTAGTACTAGTTATACAATGACAGTTATTTCTAGAAGTGGTCAAAGAAGAAAGAAAAATGTTCCTATTGTTTAACCTAGTAAGTATATTTCTAAATAATTATGTTAAAAAGTTACATTAATTCATATAAAAAGTATGATAAAATGTATAAAAATTTCATGTAAAATATCTACAAAGATGTACCAACAATAAAGAAATGGTTTAACAAATTTTAACATATTCACAAAGCAAAATATTGGTCAGCCAATTAAAAATGTATCTATATTGTTTTCAAAGAAATTGTTCCATCTAAGAAGAAATACTCACTAAATATTAACCTTAAAAATTTGAAAAGCAAGTATATAAAAATGTTAACAAATGGCTTTTTAATTAAGGTATTATTGGCAACTTTCTTATACTTTTCATGTTATTTTCCAAATGCTATTTAAACACATTTGCTGAATGTTATTTAAAAATATATTACCTTTATAATCAGTTTTCAGTAATAGAAATACTTAAATTTGATGATAGTGTTCTTTAGAAGTATAAAATTACTGCTATCAAGATAGAAATATTAAGCTGGTCTCAGAAATAATTTTGAGTTTAAAAGACAACAATGAAAAGATGTTATCAAACTGTGAAATGAACTACACTGTACTTCTAGAAGAACAGACCCGATTCTTACACAAGGAAAAGCAATTAAGAACAAGATAAGGTACTAGATTTCCAAGCTGCACCTTTGTGGCTTCAGTGGATCCACTCTAACAATTTGGGCCCAGAAAGGATCTAGCAAAAAGCAAAAAACCCACGATGAATACATGAATTTAATCTCACTGGATTCTTAGAAATTCATGGTAGTTTTCTACCTTGCAACTTACAGAAAGTTCTTATTAGCTCCTGCATGTAACACAGCCCCCTAATGATCTTGTTTTACATCCCCTAAAGCCACCCACAGACCACGATTACTAATGACTTCCTGGCAGAATTTGTGTCCCCAAGGCATGGTGGGGACTTCACCACCAGCACAGCCCAGCACTGTCTGTCTTAGTACCTCTACTTGTAGAAGACTATCAGGAAACAATTCCTATATGAATTAAATGAACCATTGAAGCACACCTTTCACCCTGAATGCTGTGCTGTTCTAATTGGTTTATACTTTAGTTTCTCTATTCCCTTGTCTGAGGACTCTGACATTTTAATCTCCTGCTGAGACTGATCTTTAGTATGTGTACAGATTAACCACATATATATAATGCAACAACAAATTCCTGGTAGAATGTGACTGCCACTTATCATTCTAACACCATGTATATGGTTTTCCTGCTTTGCCAATAAAATAATACCCTACTTTAATTACATATCTAATTCTACTGTTTCCTTGCTTCATTTCTTAATGGAAGGATTCTATTTCCATTTTGATCATTTTCAAAGGCAAGGAATAGATCTGCACATGTAAGCACTATCAACAAGGCCAATTTTTCTGTTTTTATGTTGTTTTAAAAAACAATCACTACTTATGACTAGGCACTTTAAGTTCCCAATAAACATTAAATCTTAGCTCAAAGGGGTCAAAATCTACATTTTTTTAAATATAAACTTAAACAGTGGGTCCCTGGTCATTCCCAATGTGATTAGCACACAGTATATAAAGCAGGTTGTCTTCAACAAGCCTGTCTGAAATTAGAGAAATCAAACTTAGCCAATCCTATCATTCTACTTCTAGCAAGTATGCAAAATAAAAGCCCTGGGCAGTTATATAAATGGGTTAGTGGCCATTCTCTGACATTCCTATTGCTTACACTTGCTTGGAACAAAAACCAGCTTTCAGACCTTATCTCAGGCTATACTGACTAACAACACATATACCACTCTTATATGTGTTGGTCTGGTTTCTAAACTTACAGAAGACAATAAACGGTAAATCAGAAAAGAAACTGCTGAAAGCAGGAAACCGACAGTAGCAAGAAATGACAGCTGACAAATAATCCAAAATATAAGAAAACCAGACTGAACCTAGCTTCCAAGTCCAGGACTCTGGTGAAGAAGTAACATTTGGTTGTTGGTTAGGAAGACATTATTCTAGCACATTCATTATGAATATATTCAGTTATGCAGTATTTCAGAAGGGCCGCAATATAAAATGGCCAAAATATTTGTAAGTTGAAAATTTTAAAGGAATAATTCTTACTTAGCCTAAATAATCAGAGTTGTGATCAGTTTCTGTTGCTTGGTGCTTCCTTGCATCTCATTTTAGCTATAAGATTGCCTGTTCCAGACATGTGACCACATCAGATGTATGTCGATTATACCCAATTTGAAGAGGTCAGAAAATGAAGCCCTGAAGTCTTTACCCTCTACAAAACCTTTCTAGTGTAAGAATTCTCAGTAATCCATGGAGAATACAGTGGCAAGGCAAGGTTTTATGCAGAGGTGACCAATTAGAATTTTGTGAATCTAAAATAACCTGTCTTACACAGATACTCTCACATTTCCTTAAATACAGCTGCATTTTAGTAATTTGCTTCTTAAGAGAAGGGCAGAAAGAAAGGAGAGTAATTTTACCTGACACACAGGAGAAACCTGACAAGCACACTTCAGCTAGGTGATCATGACTAATATAATTAATGCTACATTAATAAACTGTACGCTTGACAAGATATGATGAGAACAACCTTCACAAACTGCCTCTCAATATCCCACAACCCCAGTCTACTCATGAGAAAGAGCAGAGACCAAAACTGAGGGACATTCTACCAAAATATCTGACCAATATTCCTCAAAACTGTCAAGGTCATTAAAAAAATGAAAAGTCAAAGAAGCGTCATAGATATAAGAGCCAAACAGAACAAGACAAGTGAATGTAACTGATGTGCTGGACTGGATCCTAAAACAGAAAAAGGCGCTAGAGAAAAGATAGTGAAATCCAAATTAAGCGTGGTGTGTAATGTAATGTACCAATGTTGGTTCCTTAGTTGTGACAAATGTATCACAACACAGTACGATGTTAACTATAGAGCAATGTATGTATAGGAATACAGAAACTTTGTGCCATCATTACTTTACCATAAAACTACAACTATTCTAAAATAAAAAGCTTATTTAAAATAAAAGTAACAGCCTCCCAAAGATATAGTTGTTGGGGAAAAATATGTTACCATATGAACAATCTCCATAATTTACAAACCAGAAAGATTTTGAGGCTACCAAAAGGAAACCAAAACATTCTAACGAATCCTCTCTACTCCTTTCCACAAATCCGTATGAATTCTAACATGCTATTGTTGCAATATTATAACTCCATGGTATTTACGAATTTCTTACTTTGATTCATGAATTCTCTTCAAACCAAAGTTTGTACTTAATTAAAAATATTACCAGCAGTCAAACATTTACATGTTGCAACTGTAAGATAACTGCCATACTGTAAGAAACTGGCAACTGCAAGATGCTGTCATAGTAAAGTAAAACCCATTTGAACAAATACTGCCACAAGTAAAAGTGTAGCAAGTTAAGATCCATGCATATTCAAGGATGAAGAAATTACATATAAAATATGTGTATACATACCTTCATGTTATCTAAATAACTATATAATCCTACATACAAAAGTAACATGTAAATGCCTAAAAACATAGATACAAATTTAAATATAAAAAGATGATCAGAGCCAACAGCTTCCTCAAGCAAGAGTTTAAGACACTGAATTCAAGATAAATACCTTGTCTACTTTATTTTTTGTTGTTGTTATTGCTGTTTATTTGATTGTTGAGACAGTCTCCCTATGCATATCAGGCTGGCCTTGAACGCACGATAGCACAAGCTGGCCTCTAACTTGCAATGATCCTCCTGCTTCAGCCTCCCTGGTGCTGGGATTTGTCTACTTTCTTAAGAATTTTCATAGCTGGAATTTGATCTTTGATTTCATACTCAATAGACTTTTCATACCAAAGGCCCACATTACCATTATCACAACAGTATTTACCCTTGTCATGACTATACTCACTCTGACCATTTTTTCACCGATGAGTATTACACCAGGGAGGAATTTGTTTCAGTCCTTCAGTCACCCAGTTCCTCAGATGGACCCTATGAAGTGGCTGACCTAGCACATGTCAGTTTTACTCCCTCCATAAAAGCAATGCGTTGTAAGCACCATATGTTGAACTGTATCTTCCAAATGATGAACGTTGAAGTCCTCACCCCCAGAAACTTAGAAAAACAACCTTATTTGGAAACATTGTCATTACAGGACATCATTGGTTTAGATAAAGGAATCCTGCAGTAGGGTGAGTACCTACTCCAATCTGACTAGTGTCCTTATTAAAATGGAAACCATGTAGAGACAGCAATGCACATAACAAGAGTGTCCGTGACATGAAGGCAGAGAGTGTGGTGGTGTGTCTGCAAGACAAGACCACCAAAGACTGCTAAGCAAACTATGGAAGCTGAGAGAAGAATGAACGGATCCCTCCTCACAGAAGAACCACTTTTGCTGACACCGTGATCTTAGACCTCATCCCCTAGAACTGTGGGAAAGTATGTTCTTTAAACCACTCAGTTTGTAGTACGCTATTACAGCAGCCCCCTAGCAAACTGTTATAGTGACTAATCTGTACATGCTTAAGAATGATTAAAGTTTCCAATTGTAAATGCTATTTTTAAAAAATGTGGTAGTCTACTATAGTCACAAAACAGGTTATGATGTGCTTGAACAGAGTTGAGCTGGACAGGGATCCAAGGTATCAGTATTTCATCCCCAAGTGTTTCCTATCTGATTACCCCAGCTACCAGAACACCTAGCTCCAAAGTCAATTCATTTAAAACAGTGCTGTGCATGTCTCCCCCAGGTTACAAGGATTTTCTACACAGCACTAGAATCTGAGTACAAATTTCCATTTCACTTCTATAATATAACTTAGATAAATCATTAACACCTCCAAGCAGTTTCCCCTATCTATAACCCTGTACGAAAAACAGTATATACGTTAGGAAGGTTTTTCTAGGGTTGAGTGAGGCTCATGTAATAAAT